CAAAAATAAAAAATAATCATTTTCACATCTCAATATATTCACCCAAATAACAAAATTTCAGAAAATTGACGAATGGGTATTTTATAAAAGTGCGCGATTTAAAATGCATTTTTTTATTAAAAAAGTCAAAAAAGGACCAATGAGTTAAGACTAAGTATATTCAATATTATGGAGATTTACGCATGTGGTTAGTTAAAATCCAATTATCATGTTCACCGTGGAAAGCATCATTTGAGAAAACCACTCGGTATTTCGACCGTAGACCCCAAATTGAATTGAAAACCAAGTTTAGCCCGCGAAACCATATTATAGCAATTAGTCAATCCACAATTTTCAGGTAACTCAATTTTCATCTACGACTTACTGTAGCCTATTAATTATCTGTCGGACGTCATTTGTAATTAAATACCTCCTATGACATGACATTGTTCGCTAATTTCGTCTCTTTAAGGCCTGTTGATCTTATAACGCAGAAATTGTTTATATATATATATATATATATATATATATATATATTATAATCGTACAAGGACTTTGGAACAGAGTTGGGATATTTTTTTCGTGTTCAAAGCACCCACAAACTTTTGCGTAATAGCCAATTTACTGTTTTTTGTTAAAATTTGACAAATGCCAGCCAATCAATATTAGATTATAAATTTGTTTTTGTTTAAAAGATTTTATGTCGATTCTTTAATCTCAACAAATTACTTAGAAACACCATGGCAAATTAGGCTAACTTGAAACGTTAATAACTTTTTTAATTTAAATGTAATACCCTTTAAGTTTTTACATAATCAAACAGGAAATTAAAAAACCTTTCAATTTCAATTTAATAAATTCAGAGATATTTAACAATTTCTAATCTTAGACCCAGAATAGTCAAGAAGAGCAACGATAAATGAAGGACACTTTGAACATTCAGTAATAGAGTAAAGTAGCCTTATGTGGAATACTGCCTATAATGTGGTATAGGTACCTCCTTTGCGGCAAAACTAATAGCGCCATATATCTTCCAATACGCTAATCAGAAACTCTTTCTATTATGTTTCACCCCTAGCAACACCATAGAGCATTTCGCGGCTGTCGCTTGCCAATATTGGTTTAAAACGAATTGTAACGGTCGCTACATTTTTGCACGTGTTTATATAAACATCTATTGTGACTCCATTTATAGAAATTTTTGCAAGATTGGTGTATAAGCGTAATGGTAGGTAGTGGATGATTGTGAAATGTGTAATTATTTCATTAATATTTTGTTTTTAATGTTTTACAAACATTGTTTACAAATATTTAAAAAGTCGCTATTGTGGAATACGAATTACGGTCTGAATGTGGAATATTCCACATTAGAGGCTTTTCGTATTTTATAATGGAATAAATAAATGTATGTTATTTTTCAATAATCTTTTGCTTTACTTTAAAAAAACAAATTATTTTAATATCAAGTCCGATATTAAACCCATTCCACATTAGCGTATATTGGTATTCCACATTACCCACCCATTTTTCAGCTAGAAAAAAGTGCACTTTTTTTTAAAGTTATTTTTTATACATATTTTTTTTTCTATAATTTTTATTATTTCTGTTTTTTGTTTGCAACACTTCCCGCTATCTATATTCCAAAATGTGCATAATAATTTTAAAGTTTTCATTTTTATTTTTCAAAAAACCAAACAGTATTCCACAATCGGCTACTTTACTCTACAAATTGTTAATTAAAATATTGTTGGTTTATTAAATTGTTACCAATACGCATTCTTTTTGTTATTAAAATATTTCAAATTTAATATGTTATTGTCTTCAATAAGCTAGTGCTTTACCTAGAGATGCGACTTGAAAAAAAAACGGTCCGTTTTTTTTGTTTTTTTTCATTGTTATTTTTTCAAATGGTTTTTTTTTCATATTTTAGGTTTTTTTTCAAGATTAGTCCCATTTGCCTAATTTTGTATGTTTCCAGTCCAGTTCATGGACTAAAATTAGCCACTAAATGACATTTAGTAAATGTAAATACAGTCTCGCGCTTTGCACGCGCCACCACCACCGAATTGACCAATAGGGGCCCCGCTTGTTTTGATTTGGTCCTAAAAAAAGTAACTACCTATAATATTTTTGATTCAGCGCTTGATTTTACAAAAAGCTACCAAAAGCACTTTTTTTCATGATTTTTCAAATTCATGTAGAGTATGGACATTTTTTTTCTTTTTTAAACAATAGCAAATTTTTGTAGAACATTTATTCATTGGTGGTTAAGTCAGAACATTCCTTGGACCAAAAAAGAAAGCCAAAAAAATTTCGAATTTTTTTTATTATTATTATTTTTTATTTTTATTCGTTAGGATTGAGTCTTGCACGTTTTTCATCTAAAAACTAGAAACTTCAAGCTTCAAATTGCTTTTTTTACGGCTCCAATACGACCATTTTTAACGAAGATACAGCTATCCGAAAAATCGCAAAAAAATTTTGTATGCTTTAATTTTTTCTATTAGTGTAGAAGTTTTACATTGCTATTGGTTTCTTATGTGGAAACTACCAAATAATAAAAAAGCAAATTTTTAGTCTCGGTCAAAATTTTCAATAATGAAAAATGTAATATATTCTACATTTCACTTTATTATTAATATACATTTTACCCAAAATTTCATTTTGAAAAATTACTCCTTTTTTTAAGATTGATGTTATTTATTCACAGAATATGCTTTATTGTAGCGGATTTGAAAAGAAACAAAAAAAAACCGGTTTTTTTTAGGTTTTATTCATGTTTTTTTTCACATCTGAAAAAAACATCTCTAGCTTTACCTACAGCTTTGTTAATTTTTTTGAATTAGCAAATTTATACCGTTTGTACCTATTACTTTTAAATTTTAAAAATGTTTGGCTTGTCAATGTTTTTTATATTTATATTTTTTATTAGTAATTTTGTTTATAAAACAATTATTTAGTTAACAAATTGTTTATAACAATATGAGAAATTGACGCCATTAAGTTTTGAACAATGACAGATTACGTGGTTTCTTGATACAAAATAATATTTAAAATTTAGGTGTAGGGAATAGTTACGAAAGGTTTTTTAATTTACTTTTAGTTTTGGTATAAACTTACCGGGTGTTGATATAAAAAAGTTATTAACGTTTCAAGTTAGCCTAATTTGTCCTGGGTTTTCTCAGGTAATTTGTTGGAAAATTTTAAAGAATTGACATGGAATATTTTAAACAATATTTTAAGATACCAAAATTTTATTTAGAATTTTTTGTAGAATTTAAAAATGTTAAAATAGGTATATGGGGTGTTTTATTTAATATAACAAAGTTTATGTCACTTCTGGTTAAACCAAAAATTGCATTTTGTTTAAAATATTTTTTCTACTCCCACCTTTAAAACGCCCTTTATCGTACATGTTTCCATGACACTAAGTGACCTTTTAAATACACATTGACAAGTTGTGGCTTTACGGCGCTTTAGTCACGGGCTGAAGTTAGTTTTAAGTTAGTTGTCATACAATCGTTAAAATAAAGTGCCTTTCTTGTAAAATAATACTAAATGTTAAAATAATTTTATTATCTCAATACAAAAATATTAAATAGTTTCTCAACGCCAATATTTGAAAAGTTTATATGAACATTGTACTGACCTTTTAATTTCGCCGGCAGTAAACTATAACTTAAATTCGGGCACGGACTCTACTGTAAAGTCCTCATAAAACATTTTCTTTACTTTCACTGTAAAAAACTGTCAATTTTCAAGATACATTTCGATTTATAACCTTTATAATTGTGTTTATAAAATGTAAAAATGTGACATTTGACAGTTTCCCCTGTTGTTTCATAGATGGCGCTCCATACAAATTTTTGATTTAAATCATTTTAAGATAATAATAAGTATTTGTCGTAGAAAAAGTATAGTATGCACATCGTTTATAAACTTTTCTATACACTCATTAACTTAAGCACTCGCTCGCAAGCTCGCTCGTGCCTAAATTAAATTCGTGTATAAAATGGCGTTTATCAAACTTGATACATAATATACCTACTATTAGAAAAGTAGACTTGGATCTTAACGCTTTTAAAATTTCAAATCGATAACTTTCCGTTCCCCAGAAACAAATGGACCACGAAAAATATAATTTTTGATAATTTTGCAATTTTTGTTGTAAATGCGAAAATAAAGAAGAAGATGAAACAATTTTTCAAGTCTAAATTTAGTTATTAAAATGTTCGTTAATAAATTTACTACAATATTAGGGAAATTGGGGTTATCTCGTACGGTTGTATTGGTTAAAGAAGAAGTTTTCGTTAGATTTGCTTCTTGACCTTTTCGACCATATCTTTTGAATAAATAAATCCAACAACTTGGATATAGTTTAAAATTTGCGCAATATTCTATTCTTCAAGAAAAAGTAAGAATTGTTTATATCTAGTTTATTGTTATTGGTAATTCATTTCGAATTATTGTAGTAGCATTTTTAATATTGTTAAATTAAAAAAGGGCCCGTTACAAGTTATAAATATTTAAAAAAAAAATACTTACTTTTTTGCTTTATTAACTAATCTTTTTGTGCTGGAACCACCCTGTCAATTTGCATCAACACTGTACAAACATTTACACTATCACTCGCATACAAAAACATTTTAAAACTAACGAAAAAACAAAAAAAAATGCAATTTTTACCAACACCCTTAAACCTTAAAAGATTGTTTACTTGTTAAATTTTACTAATGGCTGCCAAAATGACAAAAGCAAATCGCCCAACTTGCGCGTCGGTGTAAAAGCACACGCGATCACAAAAATTACTGTCAAATTTTGACTATGTATAAGATGGCATTAAAGACAACTAGATATATTAATTTTAATCTAAAGTAGAACTGTTCAGCATTAATTTCTTGGAACTGTTTTCAAAACAATTTGGCTTTAATTTTCTTGGTATTCGACGGGTCAATGCACTTTCTTTTACGGGGTGATTTTTGTGATCGCATGTGCTTTGACACGCGCTTGTAGACGATTAGTTTTTGTTTTTTGTCAGCCACAACTAAAATTAAACAAATAGGTAGACATGTCTTGCAATGTTTTAAATGTTGTGTTTGGTTATTTTTTTACGTGATAAGTGTAAGTGACAGTTTAAGTATTATTTGTACAGAAGGTTAATAATGTAAGTTAAACTTACTAAGTTTTAAGTATAAAGTAGTGTTTAATATGGTTTGTCCAGAAAGAGACTGGCTAACAGGGTAACTGAAAACAATATAGTAAGTCCATTTTTTATTATTTTTAACGTTTAGTTATTATTATAAAACATGGTTAGATGGGTCATCAAGAATTTCTTGCTTGAAAAACACTGGTTTCAATATAAATGATTACATTTAACGTAAAGTGGGGATAATCTATTTTCTAATTTATATTTTTACTAAAACCGTTCTTATTTTTTTTACCTTAAAAACCTTTTTTAAAGTCGATAAATCTGATAAATTATATGGAGGAAAAAACCAAGGCATTAAATTATTTTACAATCATACATTATGATTCATAATATTTTTTTAAACGTCTAAACCCAAAATTCCTATTATCAAGGGTATCAAACAAACCTTGTAAAAACTTTTCAAAATAAATAAGAATAAATAAAGATCACCGTTAATGGTTTTTGTAATTCTTTGTAGTTTTGATTATATTAGAGTTTTATTATAGTAGGTACCTACAGTCAGGTACTTTGCAGGAAACTTTGATAAAAAATCAAAAAGTTTGTATTTTTACGTTTAAAAACAAAAAATTTAAAAAGTTATAAGCATATTTAGTGGGGTTCGTGGTCGATTTGACGTGGATTTGACGTGGATTCATATTTTATACTAATAGTATATCTGCAATGTTTTAGGTAAAGGTTAAATATATGAATAGATTTTATTTTTAAAGAAATACTGCATTGATAGAAATAAATCCATTATATTAAGTCACGAACTTTTAATAAAAAATTACTTTAAAAACTTATTATGCTTGAATAAACTTATATTTATTTTCTAAATCTAATTTCTACTACAAAAAATGCAGGTAAACCAAACATTTCAATCAATCAAAAATTTTAAGTTTCGAGGTTACATACCTACTTAATATTTTATCTATTGTTACATAAGTTTTTTTACATGGAAATCAAAAAACTTTAAATCAACTTTCTGCTCTTCACAATACTTCGGAGAAAGAAAACGTATTATTACGAGAGAATTCATTTTTCTTTATTAGGGTTCTAAACTTGTTGATTATGTGGAAAAATTTCGCACGTCTTTAAATTACTTCTTGACTAGAAAAGTTTTATGAATTTTTGACACCTATCTTTCAAATAAATGTTACTTATCTTGCTTGCATTTTCTATTCTAATACTGTTTTATTTCTTTATTTATATAACTTATATGGATGAATCTCACGAAATGTCCCCCGATGGTTGTACCCCGTGATATTTAATAAAACTAAATGAGTTTGACCTACACTTTAATTGTGTTTTGATCTTTCATAATTAAATAGATATTACAGCTCAGGTTCCAGATTTTTAACCGAAATTAATTATTATTTATAATGTTTTAAAAGTCTAAAACCTATCCTCCGTGACTGTTACTCTTACTAGGTTAACCTATATGTTTTCAAATATCTCAGGTGGTAAAAGCATACTAAAAATATCAGTTCACTAAGTAAGTTAAACACATCCAAAGCAATCGAATCAAATATAAAATATTATTAAAAATTAAAAGAAATAATTTTTATAACCATTTATGTAGGTGTTACAAAAATGTATGCTATCCTCCGTGAATCTGTTTTTGCTTTAAAATTCAACGGATGGCGCTTTAATCATTTTAAATAAGCAAAAACCTTCGTTTACATTATAGATGCATGTGATTCCTGAAGGTCAGTTAGAATTTATATGCAGATAAGATTATTGCTGTTTTATAATTCAAAAGTTTAAGTTCATTTATTTGCTATTTAAAAACCTATCCACCGTGAAGTGTAATATCTCAGTAAGTAGATTTTTTTATAAATATTTTATGTATGAACAATTTTATTTTTAAAAATATTAAGGTGTCAAAAGATACAATAACTTATTTCAAATTTACAAAGGGATATTTAAAAAAGAACATACGAAATCCTAACCTCCGTGAAGCTCTAATATTCAAAATGTATGATTTCTTAAAATTCTTGCATTCGTGCAGGACCACATGTTATGTTATTACTAGACCTGGTGGCTTCCCAAAAACCCCATTCTATACTAACAGTAAAACAATCAAAAATAAAAAATAATCATTTTCACTTGGGGGACATCTCTCTCTATTTTAGTTATTTGCAACTTTAATAATTTAAATATTTAATTAATTGGAATATTGGAATATAAATACGAAAGAATATTTAAATATTAAAAATCCCAGCCTTAATTTGGACAACTAAACATACAAATTTTTAGTACGTGTTAAGTAACAACAGTCTGTTTATATGGAGACGCAGGATCCATATAACTGCAACCAATTCCTGCAGCTATTTACATTTGTTGGTATATACGGGGTCCTGAAATAGGGTTAATTTGACGACAATATATTTTACTGCTGAAGATTTAGTGTTATAATAACGAAAATCTAAACCTCCTGTTTTATTTTCCTAAAAAGTCTTTTTAAAAAAGCATAGAAAAGATTTAATAAATATTATACATATTAAGTTAAATTAAATAAAAAATTGTATCCAGCAATTTAGAAAAAGATATTTGAGGACCCTAGAAGCCAAGGGATACAAGTTATATTAAAAAAAATGTGGTTATGTACAGAAAAAGATAGTAAATGGTACATTTTACTTGGTATCCATGGGTTATAACTGAAATCTAAGCTTAGACATGTTGAAAAACAAAGTCATAAAACAACAAACAATTTTGACTTCAAATTACACGTGTTTTTTTACTTTAAACAGGATTATCTTAAAACTAAACAAAATGTACAAGTTTATACCCCTTGGCTTCTAGGGTCCTCATACGAGGTGTGTACAGAAAAAAACGGGAATTGTTAAATTCCGCGGGTTCAGAGGGTCCGGTTGTTATAAAATTTTCTTTATTATGTTGGTATACATGCCCCCGAAGTATGATAAAAACTAGCTGTTTTCATTGTTTACTTTGTCTGTGGCAGCAGCTAAGGTTAGACGTGTTTTATGAGCTCGGCGATTTTTCGTTCGTTAAAAGAAATGGATCAAAAAATTTGTATCCAATTTTGCTTTAAAAATTAAATAAATTCTGTGAAATGTTAAAAAAAGGCCTATAGTAAGTTTGCTATAAGTAAAACAAGAGATTACAAGTGGTATAAGAGTTTCCAAGATGGCCGTGAAGACGTTGAAGATGACGAACGCCCCGAACGCACAAGCACATTAACAACCGATAAAAACATGGAAAAAGTGGAAGAAATGGTTATAAACCATCAGAGAAGTCGCTGATGATGTTGGTATATCGATTGGCTTATCCCATGAAATTTTTTCAAATGTTTTGGGTATGAAACGCGTGGCAGCAAAATTTGTTCTAAAATTGTTAAATTTTGAACAAAATTTATGGCCAAAAACAATACTGTAATGATGCCCCAGCCTCCATATTCGCCAGACATGCCTCTGTCTGACTTTTTCCTATTCCCAAAAAAAAAGAGAACCTTAAAGGGCTGTCGTTTTGCAAGCATAGATGACATTATTAGAAGCGCATCGCTGAAAGAACTAAAGGCTATCCCAAAGATCGAGTTTTAGAAGTGTTTCGAGTATTGGAAGAAGAGCTGGCACATGTGCATAATATCCAATGGGGACTATTTTGAAGGCGACAACATTAATGTAGACGAATAAATAAATATTTGTTTCAAAAAACGAAAATTCCCGATATTTTCTGAACACACCTCGTATATGATATACAAATTTAAAACTTAATATACTTTGTAATTGGTCAATAACACTGGTCAACAAATTTTTGTTTGCAACAGGGTGGTCAATAACTTATTTTGGGCATGCTGATTCCATAAATGGCCATACTTGAGTCTTATATGAAACATACTTAAATAAAAATGTTCAAAATAAATTAATCTGTCGTTTCCAACTATGAATACACAAAATAATTTATAAATACTTATTTTACGTCGTAAATGAAATAATGTTTTTGTTTGTTTAAAAATACATATATATATATATATATATATATGCGCATTATTACGTCGTAAATGAAATAATGTTTTTGTTGGTTTAATAATACATATATATATATATATATATATATATATATATATGCGCATTATCTGCATGTCTCTATATTTAAAATTAAACCTTTTAACTTTATAGGTACCGTAATATACGAGTATTCTAGTTAGACAGTTTTATTACCAAAATTAAACCTTTTTAAAGAAGTTTTTTCTATTTGTGTTAAATTGGTTTTCAACACGTAAAAGTTGCGTGAACTTGCGTGAGTTTTCCGTTTGGATTCACAAGCCTGTTCTAAGAATAGAACAAAAAGGATCAGGCAATATATTAAGTCATTACCTGCAGAACTTATAAATTTACTTTCTTCCAATAAAATAAAATTAAATTCGGCCATTTAGTAGAGCAGTTTTAAATGATTTCACTACACAAAAACTAATAAAATTAAAATGTTATAAAATAAAGAAATTTAAAAACAACTTGAATGCAATAAAAGCAATAATTTTTGCAGTTCACTTTATAAAATCATAGATTTTAGTACTTTACATAAGCCATGTCAAGGGTCAAAACCCAAGTAACACATTAGGTTTTATTATTGCTGTAACTGCACCTATTTTTAAATCACACCGTAAAGCTATTTGTACTTTAATACGCTGTTACAGCAGGCTTAAGAATTTCTTAAAACCAAAAGGAGAATCCTTTTATTGCCTTCAAGGCCCATTATTAATCGATAATAAAACTTAAAGGTTTTATTATAATTGCTTTAATGAGGTTGTCACAGCTTTCATAAATTCTCCTCTGACACCTTCATAAAGCTAAATAGAAGTTAAGTGAGATTTATGGTGACCTTATACGAAGAGGTCTATAACGCTAGTTAGCATGTAAGCAGTATTCTTTTTAAATATTTTTGCAGTAGTAAATGCAATATTGCTTTGGTTTAGAATAATATTAAAATTATTATCTCTCAAAGAAATCCATATAATATAATATATTATATTATATATAATATAATATATTATATTATATGGAATATATTAAGATGTCCCCCAAGTGAAAATGATTATTTTTTATT